AACTAATATACTATCATATTAATTAATAAAAGTATTCAATTTTTCATTACACTACTAAAATTCTACCATATTAATTACAATAATTAAGTTTAAGACATTTGTAAAGATATTTTAATCCAACTCATAAAACTAATTAATTCAGTTAGTCCAATTGTAGTTAATAAAAAGCCCAACCACAATACATTATTAAGGCCCAAAATACAACTCAATTATATATTAAACAAAAAAAAATGTATAACGTGTGAATAATGGAACAGTTGCCAAATCGTTCCACAAAAGCCCCGCTACCGTTTCCGCCATGGCTGATTGGAGATGGTTTTCCTCCAACCCACCCGTTTCCTGCTTGTATGAAGGGTGGGTTGGAGATGCTCTTAGTAGGTCGGCCCAAAATGTACAAGTAATTTTTATATACAACATACTTCTTCTCTAAATCATTCAACTAACACATTTTTTTTTTTTTTTTTTTGAGATGATCTAATAATTGGAGGGTCAAATTATTCAATTGAGGTCTCTACCTTAACAAGAGGTTTTGAGACCTCACCACAAAGTATATCCCAAGCCTAATCCATGAGATCCATCAATAATTACCAGTAATTATGTTTTGGTGATTAATTAAAAATAAATAAATAAAAAGCAGATGGGTCACACATCAAAATACAAATCCTCCACCAAATGTGTATAAACTAAAAGGGAAAAATAAGATAAAATGCCCATGAAAAAGAAATATGATACCCGGCTCAGCCGTCCTACCTCCTCCACTTCATCTCTATAGACTTTAAATTGATAATGACACATATTTTCCAATTTATATATATAAAAGATATAGCAAATAAGATAATAATAAAAATAATAATAAGGGAAAACTACACTTAACCCACCTAAATATAGGGATTTTTGCACTTTACTCACTCACTTTTTTTTCGTTACACTTTGTCCATATAAGTTTGTAAAAAATTGCACTTAACCAATTTGCGGTCATCGTCGGAAATTTCTAAGGGCAAAATTGATTTTTCAGTCGTTCATTAAGTTAATTGTCATCGAAAAATTTATACTTTACCCACTCATCTATACTTTTTTTGCACTTTATCCACTCAACTTTTTTTTGTTATTTATACTTTGCCCTTAGAAATGGCCGGACGATGACCGGATAGTGCAATTATTTAGAATGTAGTGTCCCGAAAAAAAGTTGATTGTGTAAAGTGTAAAATACTGTATAGTTAGGTGGGTTAAGTGTAATAATATTAAAAATAGAAAAGACAATAAGTGGCAAGTTTACATGTAATTGGAGGGATATAAAAGGGGGACCAATTACATTCCAAAGTGCCCCAATCCCTTCATTGCTTTCTACACATGTATGTATGTATGTATCTTCTTTTTTTCAATTTCTCAGATTAATAATTCCCAATTATAATATCACCAGCTTTATTTAATAAAATAAAAATAGAGAAAAAAAAAAAGGAAAATATTAGAAATGGAAAATAGCTTAGAGCAGAGCACAAAAGCATCAAGATTCAAGAGAATATGTGTGTTCTGTGGCAGCAGCCCTGGGAAGAACCCAAGTTATCAGCTTGCAGCAGTACAACTTGGAAAGCAGCTGGTACTCCTCTAATCATCTGATTATGGTTTTTCTTTTTTCATGAACAAAAAAATTATAGTGTTTTCATATGTTTTTTTTTTATGTTAGTATTAATTTAATTGGGATATTAAGACAGGGGAGCCCTGTATTTCTGATTCTTGTTCTTGATTTTATTTATTTATTTAATTTTATTTATTTATTTTATTTTATTATTATTATTTTTTTTTTTTGGGCTCATAAATATTCTCACTATCTT